CCTGAATGTCCTCACACACTGCACATGCCTGACTGACACAGTAACCCAGGGAGCCTGAATGGCCTCACACACTGCACATGCCTGACTGACACAGTCACCCAGGGAGCCTGAATGGCCTCACACTCTGCACATGCCTGAGTGACACAGTAACCCAGGGAGCCTGAATGGCTGACATCAGTCTCAGTTTAGACACCATGGGTGCATGCCCATATTGCTAGCAGCTTGGGAACTGAGGCAGGAGTATCACAAGTTCATAGCAAGCTTCAGCATCTTAGTGAGGGTCTAAGTAACTCATCGACACCCTGTTCTGATTAAAAAAAAAAAAAAAGGTTTTGATGTCGCTCAATGGTTAATTGCCTCTGGGTCAATTCCTACTCCAAAAATAAATAAAGAAAGAAACTCCCTCTATACATCTATGAATTTTAACAGGCTGAGGTGGTAAAGCACCCAGGGAGGTCTCTGGCTCCTGCCACTCAGGTAAGTGCTTGCTCCCTGTGTTTAGTAGCTGAGCCTGTCAGCAGCGGTAACGGAAAGTGGGGAAAGTGCAAGGGGAAGAGAGCCGGCCTCAGCTGGCGTTTAAATACTCCATCTGTGGAGGACTAGGTTCTCTTCTCACAGGAAAGACACTGCCTAYGGCAGGTACCAGAACAGACCGACTCCTGCAAAGGCTCTTCAGTGATTCCAGAAAGAGAAGCTTCCTAAATGGATTGGGGTCCTTTCCCACAGGTGTCTTTTTACAAAGCCGATGGAGGCGTCTGGGCTATCTCCACAGTCAGTCTGGCTGGTACGTGGGCATGGACTACGTCTTGTGTTCACCRCCCTGCAGGGGCACGCACTGAGCGGTGCTGCTCTCACGTGGCCCACAGCAATGGCACTTCCCTTGGTATTTGTGGCTCACTGCAGCTACCACCTGCCTATCGTATTTAAAAAATGGTGTCAAACTGGACTTGTTAATTCAGGTTCTTTAATCAAAGGCAAGATAAAAAATGAAAACCTGCTGGGCAGAAGTTCTGGTATACACCGGAATCACTGTTGGGTCATAAACTGAAATACTCCCAGCCTGAAGCTGAAGCACCCAGCATTCACAGGGGAAAAGTCACAATTCCTTTTGGACTGGAATGACAAAATCGTAGACATAAAACACACATTAGCAGTAGTCAGGGATAAAGAAGGGTGAGTAGCTATAAAAGGGCACCATGAGGGGTCCGGAGTGGACTGTCTGCTCCACTCCGTGGTGATGACACCAGGCTGCAGCATGTGCCTGCATTTTTGCTGTCTTTCCAAGATACCACCATGCAGGGAGGAGGAGGAAAGGGCACAGAGGCCCTCCTTCCTAGTTACTACAATGCTGCAGAGCCCACAATCCCCTAAAAGCAGAAGCTTTTACAAAGAAACACAATGTCATTTACTGGCTGCTTATTTGTGTTTTAATTGCAAATAGTAACTATTTTTAACACAAATGCCCCAAATAAAAAATCTAGAGTCCGGTAAATTCTACACTTGAGAACCCACATGTCTCAGGTGAACCCACTTAGATGGTATCACCCAAAAGTCCTGTTGGTGGATACTGTTACTTACACTCTACTTATTTCTTTGCTATACTTAGTCTCTACTTAGGGAGAAACGACAGGACTCTGCGCTCCCCACGTGCACAGGAACYTCCCACAGGTGCATGCAAGCCCAATACCTGCGCCCACAATAGTTGCAGGGAGGCTCGGTGCTGGACAGCCTGGCTGCTGCACCTGAGCCAGAGGAGGCCACGGAACCCACTAGGGGCTGGCGAGACCCAGGAATGCCAGTGGTGAACCCAGCTGAGAAATGACCAAGAGTTGACACTAGTGATCAATGCGTGACGTGACAGCAAATTTCCCAGATCACCACCAGGCCCCTGAGAGTCAATCTAGTTCACTCATTATAGGTACTAAAACTTCATCAGAAACATTCTTCTCAACAGCGCATATAACTTTACTGCCCTCAACGTTCCTAAATAAATACCGCCTCCATAGAGACATCACAGGGGTTAGCACCCGAGAGGGCCCCAGGAGTGAGGAGGAGGAGAAGAAAGTGGAGCGAGGTGGAAGTTCTGGGAGCTCCCGGCAGCACGGGCGGCCAAGGCCAGCACTACACTGAGAGAAAGGCCCCTTTCCAAACACAGGTCTTTCATGGGACTGCCCCACTTGCAACTCACTCCAAGGCCAAAGTCTGATATTTAACTAGGACGCAAAAAATCATAATTACATGCCTCAACAACTGAGCTTCAGATGTTTTGCACCCAACAACTGCCTGGGATAACATAGTTACAAAAACTGAGAAGAATTCATGTTTCATGTATGACACACTTCTCTTCAGAAATAAGTGACCTCTCCAGAGTGCGCGCTGAACACCTCCGCTCTCTGAGCGGACGTCTGGCACACCTTTCTGCCCCCCCTGAAGCCCGTGGCCCAGAGCCTCCCTTCCCACGTTTGCCTCGGGAGCGTTCTAGGGCTTCTCTACAAGGTTGCTCTGCACTGAAGGATGTTGCACATCGCTGTCTTTCAACTATGACAAGACTATATTTTAAATTAGGGTTAACTATGGATTTATAACAATTTTTTTCCAAATGTTTTGCTATTACAGATTCAACTTTGCCTGATGGACAAAACTACATAAGAATATTATTTAAGTAAATTACTTAAGAGTGCTTTTGCTTTTAAAACCATTTTCTTTCATGAACTATAAAAAGAAACAAAAATATTAATATATGATAAGTATGTGAGACTCTCAAACTTACACACGCTTATAACAATTACACGTTTAGTTGTTGCTTCCCCTTAGTCCCTGGGACCCTAGTTTCYTCCAACTGTGCAAAACAGATTCCTCACTTCTGAGCCCTCTGGGTGCTCTTCTTCCATCTCCTCGCTAAACCTGAGGAGGGCTGGGTTGTGGTTCGTGGTGGAGGGACCCCAGCACCACATTAAAACAAAAGAACAGAAACACCAAACCCAAGGAGCACATGAGATTCCAGGACCGACGTAAACCCCCAATGCTCAAGTCTAGACCGACTCCTATCACCTGTCTCTCCATCGCCATCACAAACTGCTAATTTTCATGACCACCTATTGAGTTTCAGGTCATATGTTTATGACAGTAAATAACTGTAACGATTTAGGTGCTGCCAGGCAGTTTTCCAGCATCCTGTGAAGACGCATAGGCCTTGGATCCAGCCATGTGCCAGGAACCTCAGTGATGAGGGCAYCAAGGTCCTACCACTCCCCGTACCCTGCAAACAGCACGATACCCCTCAGCAAGGCTTGCCTGCAAAAGTGAATGCTGTAAGGCCTCTTATCAGRTTTTGCAGTATTAAAATTATAAGAGAAGACATCTACGATACGAGTTTACGCCACACAGTACATTATAGACCCTATTTCTGTAAAAATTTTTAAAATATGTATCTGTATGTAGGACTACGAAGATTTAGAAGGACAAGTAAATGAAAATGTTCACCATAATTCCACTTAGGTATTGATTAAAGACTTTTTTAAATTTATTTTTTATGCTTTCCTGTGTTGCCTGAATTTTCCCCCCATTTTGGGTCTAACATAATTACTTTATTTGGCCAAATTTTAATTTTGAAAGAAAACATTCAGAAACATTATACACTTGAGAAAGAGCAAGTTCATGAAGTTCCACGGTCACCCTCTGAAAAGGACCCACCTCCCCCACGATGCTCACCTGAGAGGTGATATTCAGTGTAACYGTGTCCAGGCCTCCTGACAGCACGCCCTGAGTGTCGGCCAGGGTCAGCGTGACACTGGCATCGCCCCCCACGCCTGACGAAGACATGACCAGGTTCTGCGTGGAGATGGCCGATGGTGACATGGGTGTTGTGGAAGGCAGGCTCCCACTCGTGGGATTAAGCTCTGCGAGGTGGGCAAGAGAAAGAGGTCGGTGCCAAGCAGGCGGGAAGGGCGCTGGTCCCGAGGTTCACAAAGGAAAGGCAGAGCCTTTGACCCAATTTTTTGAGAAGGTTCTTCTCAGTTTCTCTATATCTAAGGTGAGGGTGCTCTGCTGCTTACTGTAGTACTAAAAAACGTGAGTAAAAGAAGAGTGAGAGACCCACAGCCCAGTCACTGCTGCCACTGTAGAGGGAAAACTCGGGTGAGGACTCCCGGGAAGAGGGACCACTGAAGAAAGCCACCAGACAGGACCCACCGAGGAGCAGCTGGTCCACGGCGCAGCAGGAGAAACCGACTCCCTCGGCTGCTCCGCTCAGGCTCCTCACCTCAGTGCCTCCTGCTCTGAAACACGGGAGTCAGAGGAACCCTCATGCAGTCCTTCATATTAGCTGACTCTTTCTTAAGTTTCTCCAGCAAAAGATAACAGAACTTTCAGATGCTTTCCCTTACAGTCAGTGCTAGGAGAACGAAGCCGTCTGGGACAGAATCAGTAATGTCAGGCCTTTCTTGGACACAGCAGATGCCATGCTCCTCCTGGCAAGCAGGATGGTCTCAGAGGGATTGCCCGACCTATGAGAGCACGCAGAGGCTGGTACAGTGCTACTGGTGAGCGCAAGCACACAGGCACAGGCACAAGTGGCACGCGGGCACAGGTGGCACCCAGGCTCCGTCCTCAACTTCCCACTCATCCTTCAATGGGTGCCATGAGCATCCCAAGATGGCAACCAAAGCTCAAAAAGCTACACCCCAAATATGGAGAAAAACAACAAAACCCTCTGTGACACCTGTGAGGCGCGGTCCCATCAGCCAGGAGCCTGCCCTGGAGCCACAGCCAACAGCAAAGGCAGTTCTCGCCTGCAGCTGCCTTCTGCAAACACCAAGTCCCTATGACCCACACTGTGGAGCCCTCCCTGTGCTAAACAGCCTGGAGCGCTCAGAGCAGGAGGACCACAGAGGCTGGGATCTGCTCTCCGTCTGCAGAGCAGGCTCCAGGGGAAGGCGAGCCACTTTTATTAACAACTGGGCTGGGCTGGGAAGCAAAGGACTGTTCTTGCCTATACTAAGAAGTGCCGTGGAATACAGCGGCCAAGAAGGCACCTTTTGAACTGAAAGTGAGAATCATGCATCAAGTGTTTCTGATGGGGCCTCGATCAATGCCACCCATACTGGGGTCCTCAGAGTCAATCTCATCAACAAAACAGCTTTCTTTAATAACCATCTACGGTTCCAATATTGAAAGTCAGCTATACATCAGGAAAAGTCAATGTTAAGAGCATCTAAAATTCTCACATTAAAAAAAAAAAGGAATAAGGCTGGGCGTGGTGGCGCACACCCTTTCATCCCACAGCTCARGAGGCTGAGGCAGGAGGAGCACGAGTTCAAAGCCATCCTCAGCAAAAGCAAGGCACTAAGCAACTTGGGCACTAAGCAACTCAGTGAGATCCTGTCTCTAAATAAAATACACAACAGGGCTGGGGATGTGGCCCAGTGGTTGAGTGCCCCTGAGTTCAATCTCTGGTGCCACAAAATAAAAACAAACAAAGGAATAAAGACACCATACTGGAAAACAAAGGTTTCTGTTCTCACAACATAGCCTTTCTTTTAATCCCATTGCTAATTTCTGCAAAGATCTCACTGAAATAAAAGTAAAACACCCCGGGTGGCCTCATGGCTGAGTTGGCGGGAACTTGGTCTGCTGTGCTCCCCTTTACTTGCTTAAGGGGAGACAGGGTGTTTCCCTCCCTCACACCAGATCTCCACAGAAGGAATTTTTATTATCAGTAAAATGGCTCTGTTATTTCCAAGGACAACTTCATGTGGTAGTTATGAGGCTTAAGTGAACTAATACAAACACATCAATATTCAACAAGTTACTAGAATAACACCTGGCATGTGGACGGGGCTATAAAAATCGTCACGTTAGGGCTGGGGATGTGGCTCAAGCTCGCCTGGCATGCGTGCGGCCCGGGTTCAATCCTCAGCACCACATACCAACAAAGATGTTGTGTCTGCCGAGAACTAAAAAAAATAAATAAATATTAAAAAAAAATTCTCTCTCTCTCTCTCTCTCTCTCTCTCTCCTCTCTCACTCTCTCTTTAAAAAAAAAAAAAAATCGTCACGTTAAAAGTGACTCCTAGTTCACATGAAGAAGGGCTCAGGGCTAAAAATCCCCGGGATGAAGCGTGCCAGACACACGTGATGCTAGCATAGGCCAGAGCACACTGTGAGGACTGTGGCCATGCCAGGACCCAGGCAGGCGCGCACCCGGAGATGGGTGYTTGCTCACCAACTGATCTGGGCTATGACTAACTTGTACACCTACGTGAGCTACACGGCCCAACGACATTTTTGGCCTGTTTACCTGCTTTACAATGTTCTACCATATTTTTATTCTTTCTATATAATCTGAGTAGGCTTCTGAAGACAAAGAGCAGGTGAACACAACGGGTCTCCAAGATGTCCTTGTTGACACAATTCACCCAGTGACTGCCTTCGGTTTTCAGAGCATGAGAAGAATCACAAAGCTATCTGTTCTGCTCTTCACTGAACACAACACTGCAAAATCACAGGCTCTCTCAAGACCAATCAGTGCATCACACAGTTGACTCCACGTGCAGGAAGTGACAGGAGAAACCACGTCCTGATTTCTGGCAGGARCTCCCAGGCTCGTGTTGCTCACACCTAACCCTGGTGCTACGCCAAGCTGTCCTGGGAGAGGAACCACAACAGCGTGGACCTGAGCTGCAGGGTGAGGAGGAGGAAACCCACTTACTAACCAGAGATAGTCAGCGTGATCTCCTGTGGGGACCCTGAGGAGGATGTGGCAGTGGGACCCGCTGCCTGGGCCAAGACCTGGCTGAGACTGGAGTTGTTGATGGTCAGGGTGATCTCGTGCGGGCCCGTGGATGTGGACACGAGGCCTTGAGAAGTCATCACTTGAGTGAGGTCCTGGGTCCCTGCTCATCAGTACAAAAGCAAAGCACAGCTGAGATCTAAAACTGCTCATTTATCCTCATATATATTAAAAATAATTTAATTAAACTGTTATTTCAACAAGACAAAGATTCAAAATGACCTGTCCGTCACCTCTAGTTAGTTCCTCTAAGATAAGCCGTGCCCCAGCACCTGCAAGGCCCTGGGTCTGACCCACAGCACCACAGAGATACAACACACGTGCTCATGTGCCACAGCCTTGCAAGGGAACCTGATGCGGCATGAGCCAAGTGACAGCCAGAACGAGTGCCCCATGGRTGCACAGAGCAAGCAGGGCTGAGGACACAGACAGGTTCCCTCCATCCCCAGGATGTCTGGCTCACGTGGTGGGTTTGCCCAGGGAAGGAAATGACCATGACACAAGCACGACTCTCACCACTGCTGCTGGTGGTCAGCACGGAATCCTGCTCAGACAGTGGGCTGATGGTCAGATTGGCAGATGTCACTGTGGGCTGCAAGGACAGGCCTGAGATGGGCTGAATGACGACGCTGGCTGGGACGGTGCTGTCAGGGGTCTGCAGGGAGCTGTTCTGAGGGGCGGTGCCGGGCTCTCCTGAGAGTGGCTGGGTGAGCAGGTTGCCCTGCTGCAGTGTTTGCTGCAAAACACTGGGATCAATCTGAAAAGTAACAGACGCCCATCAGGGAAATCTCGTGCCGTCCCGTGATGTAGACAACATGAAAGCACAGGAACCACACAGTCACCGCACCTGCAACGTGATGTTGTTGATGCTAGAGGCATCGATTCCAGAAATCTGAACATTTGGCCCAACCAAGTTGGCAGCCAGCTGTAACTGGATGCCTTCCAGGGTGGCCAGGCTCCCGTCTGTCAAAGACACRGTCAGGTCACCACCAGCTGCCCAAGAAAAGAAGGAAGGGACAGTCAAACACCATAAATGATTTTCAAATCTGAAGGAGCTGATGTTTACATAGGGATTTCTAAATAGGTAGGTTTTATGAATGTCGCGACACACTACAGTAATCCTGTATTTTCATCACACCATACACGACCTAATTTAATCACCAAAAACAAATCCTGTGAGATAAATAATAGTACTATCCATTTTGAACATACCAAACTGGCTCAAAGAGAGTCCTCAGGTAAGACCAGGTCGGAACAGCAGTGCCCAAGAAGTGCCAGGCCAGCGTGGATTGCTGCCAGGCGCCAGCATGTCTGCGGCAGGAAGAACTCACAGCCCAGTGGGTCAGACCTGGACGCCTTCCACGGACTGTGGCCCAGCAACATGGTAACGCCACTGTACCAGAAACTATGTCAACGAGTGCTCCTGAGCCAACCCTCACACTGAATCTAAAAGGGTGCCAAGCAGCGAGAAGCAAGGCTCAGCCCATTAAAAATGAAAGCAACCAAAGGGCTGAGGCACTGGGAAGCACGTAACAGCAGGGGAAGGGGAGGTGAACTCTCTATCCCTCTGGCCTCGGAGGGAGTCGCTCCAGGAAGGGCATCCTGCTGCAGAAACAGCAGTCCTCCCATCCGGGCACRAGGGGACGCCCAGTGTGCCAGGACTGGGCCGCTCCCCAGCTCGACTCTTACCTGACACGGCAGCAGGAAGAATAGCTTGGCCCACCAGTCCTTGCAGATTCTGATCAAACTGTCCTGTCAGCACAGAGTTGTTCATGATGAACACGCTGGGGTCCGTGGAGGAGGGGCTGAGCAGGCTTGCCGGCTGCAGGCCTTCTGGCGAGCTGCGTGCCACAGGCTTTCTGACTTTCTTTGGGTCTGGTTTGTAGTGGAACTGCATGTGCGTCTTCCTGCGCCCCGAGGTGCGGAAGCGGAGCTCACAATGAGGGCACTTGAAGGGCTTGGCTCCCGTGTGCAGGCGCATGTGCACCTTCAGGCTCCCCTTGGTGGAGAAGGCGTTGCTGCACACGTGGCAGCTGAAGAGCTTCTGGCCTACAGAGAGCCAGCCCAGTGTCAGCGGGGCTCCTGGACCCTGCTCAGCAGCAAGGCAGCCCACCCGAGCGCTCCACAGGGAACCTTCCCCAGACCCTGCAGACCTGGCCGACAGGTGCAGAGCCTTGGGGCATGCTGTCACCGTGTGAACTGCGAGGCTCCTCACCCGCCCCCCCAGGATTAGTCCTTGAGCCACAGCCTCCACTGGAAGCTCAAGGCTGCTGTATGTGCTTCTCTTTGATTTACAAAGGGTGCTTTAGCATCTTGGCATAAACAGGGACAACCAATGTGGCTGGCAGAGGGTCATGCCACACATGGGGAAATGTCCACAGGGCCATGTGTCTGGTATCATGGACCCACTCCTTTCCTTCCTTACCCTTCTTACCATCACCCATGTAACAAAGGCCACAAGGACAAAGTGTCACAGCAGAGGCTCTGCCCTGGAGGAGCCTGGGCAGGAAAGCTTCCTGCCCCCTCTTTCCCTCTGCTGCCCAGGCCCCGGGCTTCACCAGGGATGTGCAGGCAAGGACCATGGGAAGACGAGATTTTACACTGTTTGGGGTCTTTCACATGGAGAAAGGTGCACCGGAAGCATTTTCAGAGACGCTTCTCTACTTCCGGTCCACGTGAGCTGCAGGAAGTCCGCCAAGCAGGTGCTGAGGACCCTGAGCCCCTCCCAGCACCCACCATGCTGAAGACAGTGCACCAGCCCTGGGGTGCCAAGGCAGGCAGCGCCAATTTCTCCTCACCCCCCCCCAAGTTCATAGAGTGACACAAAAGAAAACCACAAGACCCCCAGGACACAAAAGGAAAACTGCACACGAGTTCACRTGTCTACTTAGCTCTAAATGTGACGCCATCAGAGAAGAACCACAGGACCCCACACACTGTTCAATTCTGCTCACAACCAACATGAAGAGCACATTAGGGTGTGGCAGTCACAACCCTGGGCGTCACAGTAAGGGCAGGCACCTCCAAGGTCCACCCAGCACTTCCCACGCAGCCAACGCTCTTCAACTGCCTGGGAGGGAGGTGCCACCCTCRTGCCTGCTGCACTCGCAGGAACCTGCAGCTCAGAGGAGCAGGAGCCCACCCTGGGCAGGAGGAGGGCCCACGGTGCAGAAGTCAGGCAGGCACAGCTAGGGATGCGAGGGGACCACMGACTTTCAGGCCTCAATCCAGACAAAAGTAAGAAAAAGGCCAGGCAAGCTGGACATTAACTGTCCCCTCCTCACACAGAAAGTATGCCGACCTGGACACTTTGGTAGGACTTGACAGTCCCAGTTTTAAAAAAGCCTCAACAAGCTGCAGGCAACTCCGATAGCCAAACGAGACCCAGAGGTCATCTTTTCAACAGCCATTTAGGTCACATGAAGAATACAGACAACCTGTGACTTCAAGTCTGAGATCTAATCCTCTTTTTTAGATCATTTATGTCAGGATTAGAAAAAAATAATCTTTTCTATCTACTTTCTCATGGTTCCTGATTTCTAAGCTTGCGATGATGCTGAAAGTATCAAAGTGTGGGAAACACATGAGAATAAAACCCGAGCGCAGCAAGGCCTTGCCCAGGGCTGACCTACCTGTGTGGGTCTTCACGTGGCAATCAAGAGTGGACTTCACAGTGAAGCTCTTGCCACACTCCTCACACTTGTATGGCTTTTCTCCAGTGTGGATTCGAACATGCCTGACAAAGACACTTGTAGTTCAGGGGTTTTGTTTTTAAATAGACATACACTTACAAACAGCCGCATAGTTGAAATTTATAACCACATAAATAAAAACCATATATTCCTATGTTCTGATTAAGTTTGACTAAACAAATTTTTTTAAATATTTTCTTTTTTTAGATTTTGATGGACCTTTATTTTATTCATTCATTTATATGTGATGCGGAGAATTGAACCCAGTGCCTCACCCATGCTAGGCAAGTGCTCTACCACTGAGCCACCACCCCAGCCCTGCCAAGTAAAAATTTTGAGGTTCACTCTACATGTGAAAAATACCTTTAAAATGTAAATAACAATAAAAATATTTTCAAGACAAATGGAAACAAGGCTGATTTCTTAGAAACAACAAAGAACTCTTGTCAATCAGCAAGRAGACGGCCCACATCAGCATAGAGAAGTGGACAAGGTGAATTTCACACAAGAAATGACCAAGCAGCCGGGCGCGGAGGCACACGCCTGTGACCCARGAGGCCAAGGCCTCATGAGTCTGAAGCCAGCCTCAGCCATGGCGAGGCACTAAGCAACTCAGTGAGACCCTCTCTCTAAACAAAATACAAAATAGGGATGGGGATGATGCTCAGTGGTCAGTGCCCCTGCGTTCAATCCTTGGTACCAAAAAAGAATAAAGCAAGCCCAAGACCCAGGCTAAGTGGCGGCCACACCCAGAGCCAAAGCCTGTCCTCCTGCTGGAGGCAGTGTAGCCCTGGGGCCCGGGGGACACACTCTCACCACACCAGCAGTGAGCAGGCGCTCAGGGGACACAGGTCCTCAGGCCTGCAGGAGCACGTGGCCTTCAGCACAGGGTGCCAGGGCCCAGGATGCTGTGCAGCGGAACACCAGGTCAACACTACAGGGAAGGAGGGCAGATCGGGGCTGACAGAAAGACACCTCAGACCCGTGGGGACACGGAAGGCGGCCAGCGGGGAGCAGACCACAGAGCTGAAGGCAAAGTGCAGGCACATTTCTGAAAGCACAGGAGACAGGACAGCGGCCATCTCTGGGGAGCAGCACAGCCCTCCTCCTGCCTGGTTTGCCTCATGGTGACCCYGACTCCATGGTCCCACAGCCCACTCCCACGGTGACAGAACTGTCCCTGCCAGCCAGTTCCTTAGCTTCCCGGCCCCCCACACTGCTGGCCAGGCTGCAGTCCCAGTCCTAAAACCTAGACTCTCCTGGCTACTCCCTCCATGGCTTGACTTTCTACTGTCCCCCAACCTCGGAGCACACCACCTGGATGCCCATCCTGAGCTGCAGCTCAGGGCCCGAGGAGCTCACCACACAAGGCCCTTCTGCCCACACGAGCCAGATCTGGGCTTTCTCCACCTGCACAGTTGTCGTCACTCTGGCTGAACACACGTCCCCTTCTCTCAGGGTACACATGTCCCCAGTGCCACCCACATCCACGCCCCCTCCCCACCTTGCCCCCACAGCCCTGCAGAGCACACTGAGGGTCCAGAGCATGTGGAAAATGCCCCATCTATGTTCTGGAGCAGTCTGCACACTCAGCACCTGGACTTACCAAGCTGCTCTATGCCTATCTGTCTAGTTTTTCCTCTAGGAGGTACAACTAAGCAGCCCTGCTTCAGACAGAAACTTCCAGAACCTGGGGAGAGTGTCTAGACTTAGACCTCCCCAGGTGCACAGTCCTTAGCTCCTCCTAACTTCACTCTGCCTTTTCTGGCCTCCTTACCACCCGCCATGCTATATCTCTTGCATCCACTGCCCATCTCTGGCTGTTGGCCTGAGTACTCCTTGGTCTCTAGCTGGAGGTGTGCTCCTCACACAGACCAGCAACCCCAGGCAGGAGGGCATCTGCTGCTCTTCTGCACATCCTCAAAGCCTGGCACTCTGTCTTCCTCGATATAAAAATATTTTTATTTCCTGCTATGACCACAATCACACAGAAATATGCACAAGCAAACCATGGAGAAACAGGCCTCCCGCTACTATCCTGAATGAGGTCACTACTGAGTTAACATGGCTGGAACCCGCCACTCCAGCAGGGAACACTACTATAACTCCTGCACACAGGGCAATGGTGCAGAAGCCAACCTCCCTCACTGCAGTGAGGAGTGCCACAGGAATCCCAGAGGGTATTTTCAAGTCTCTGAGAGCCGCCCACAAGGCTGAAGGTGCCTCACCTCACCAGGTCGCTGGGCTTCTTGAAGCTTTTAGGGCAGTAGCTGCAACAGTTGGCATGCTTAGGCTCAGCCTCCAGCTCCGCCTGTTTGTCCTTCATCTCGCTGATGCGGTCTTTCTCTGCGGCCGACTGCACCAGGACCTTCTCAGACACAGTGGCACTCTCCTGGGGCCGAATCTTGGCCAGCTGGGCTGTCTCCTCCTCGGTGAAGGTGATGACCTCGGGACGGGACTTTCTCGATGCGCTTCTGTCAGAATTTTCCTCCTCTTCCTCCAGGCACATGTCTACCCAAACACAGGAAGACGGATCAAAACCTCACCAAAGCCCAGGTTTCCACAGAACAAGTCAATGACAACTGGCTGTGCCTGTAACGTTCAGGACAGTCCACCTGGGCTGTGCTCAAGGACGTAAGGGCCGCCCTTCCCACCACGATCCTGCTGAAAAGTCAGGCAAGATCATGGAAGAAAACGGCATGTGAAGGACATGCCTTGGGGAGGACCTGCTGACCCCAAGGATGCTGGGACTGACCCCAACACAAGGCCAGCCGGCGGCTTGGAACCGCACGAGCCTGCAGTGCTCACAAACGCAGTCACTTAGGGACAGGCCAAGAGCAAACTGCCATCAGCAGGGAAACCAGAAGCCCCAAAAGGGAGACCAAGCTGATAAAGCAGCAGAGCCCCAGTTTAGAAACTCACTGGAAAGAACAAGGTGAAACGGAATACATACAGCCATACGTGTATGTCTGGACAGCCCGAGTGAAGTGTAAAGTAAGAATAAGCCGCGACGACACGGAACAGGAAAACGTGTGACGGGAGGGGAGACCACAGYGGCATGCACGACTGACACTCAGAACTCAACGGAAACATGAACAGCAGGCCAGTGCCAACCCCAGAGAGCCAGTGACGACCAACTGCTGGTCCTCAGAGCTGGCAGCAGGGGCCCGGGGAGGAGAAGGCCAGCAGCTGAGCTCAGGATGACACGGTCCTGTGAGGCTGGCAATGCAAGTGAGGACGCCTGAGGACTTTAAGGGATCAAAAGAACATGTCGACACAGCACCAGCCACGGAAGGAGAGAAGTGCAAGGAGATTCAGCATGGTAAGCAAAAGAGCATCGACGGCACAGGCTGACAGCGCAACTGCCAAAGGAAACCAAGGGTCAGGCCTTGTCCCACAGGAGTCCAGCTGTGCGGGAAGACAACAGGTGGCTTCTCACACACAAGACGGGAGGAGACAGCAACAGGTCTGTCCTGGTGTTCGTCAGCACTTAGGCAGTGGCACCAAGCCTTCCAGAACCCACGCCAATCCCAAGGCACCAACTCGTCAGCATGCTGAGTGTCCACGACAGGATCAAGGGCTTTTACCCACGGGCTGACCAGTGAGCACCCTCCAGGCCACATGGAATGCCTGCATGTCCTGTGCTCTTTATTCATCTGAAGCAAACCTCCGTTGCTTTTTACACCTTACTAAACCTCATGGCAGAATTTAACCTGGGGAAATAGAGGCTCTACTAAGCACTGAACCCGAGCACATGACCACTCCACCAGGTTCAGAGGTCAGAAGCTGGAACCCAGAGCGGCCGCTGCGCTGCGTGGAGGGCACAGATCTTGCTCTTGAAGGCTAGCAAGGGGGATTCTGAAGAAAACCCCGCTGCTCTCACTTCAAGGGAACATGCGGGGCCGTCAGGGTCTGAGGCCTCGTGAGCAGCTGGCTACAGGCAGATGGAAGGGCCAGTACCCTGGGGCGGGGGTCCACGTCCTTAGCAGACCTGGTCCCCAGACACTGACCAAATGACCTGGCGCCCTCATCAGCACGACACGCCCTCAGCAAGCACACAGCAGCGCGGTAAGCGCAGCGCTCATGGCCACAGGACGCAGCAGGCCTGTGGGATGCACAGCGAGGGGGAACCTCAGCGGAGCCTGTAGGCACCCGCGAGGAAGCAACAGGGAGCCGCTCTCTGTGCTGCCAGCGTGCGCTAGTGGGACCTGCTGAGGACGGACCCTGGCGAGCTCGGAAGGCGGGAGGGCGGCCCTGGGGGAGGGAGGGCGAAGTCTCATGGCACAGCCGCCCTCACTGCACAGGTCCTGGGCCAACCAGAGAAGAGGCCGTGACAGCTGACGAGGACTTCGGGGGAGGTGGAGGCTGGCTGCCCCACACAGCTGCCTCGCCTGGCACGGCCTGGGCCACCTAATCACGCCTATGCAGCAGGCTTTGGGAAAGAAGCCCAGGTGGACTCCAACAGCACTGCTGCACAGAGGTCACACGGCTGGAGTAGACGCGTCAACGTGTGCCTGAGCTCACGCGTGCCACAGCCTCCCGTGGCGGCCCAGGGCCTTTCTCAACTCCTTCCAAAGGCATGGAGGGTTTCATACTCAGAAAACAGTTATGTTTTAAAAGTTGAGGGTGCTCCCAAGCTTAATCTATATACAGGTTTAAACATTCCAGGAGATTCGTATGTGACTTTGTTACTAAATCAGCATTCGGCTAATAAACCTTGAAGCAACAAATGGAAAATACCTCCTCCCTCAGTCTCTGCAGCTGCCGACGCAGCAGAGGGGACCGTCTGGTGCCTCTTCATGTGCTTCTTACAGTGAACCGCGGTGCGGAAGCCCTCGTCACAGAAGGGACACTTGTACGGCCGCATGCTCATGTGTGTGGCCATGTGCCGCGTGAGGCTGCCATTGGTGGTGAACGAGGCGTTACAGACGCTGCAGCTGAACGCCTTCACCCCTGTGACGACAGAGGAGACAGCAGCCGTTGGGGAGAGTCTGACCGCCTCAGGCCATACGCACGCAAAGCACAGACATGTTCAGTAAGCTACAACTCAGACCCTGTGTGTGCTGTGGTTTCCAGGCTTTAGGAATTGGACTGTGTTAGGAACATGGAAACTGACAGAGCACATCTTACCATATTCTCTATTGACATTAACAGCCTCTGAGAAGACGTTTCTCAAAACAAACCAAGTCACCGGGCGCAGTATGATCCCAGCTACTCAGGAGGCTGAGGCAGGAGGATCGCAAGTTCGAGGCCAGCCTCGGCAACTTAGCGAGACCCTGTCTCAAAATAAAGAAACAAAAAGGGCTGTGGATGTGGCTCTGTGGTACTGCACCACTGGGTTCAATCCCCAGCACACAAAAACACCTAGTGTTCTCCGTCGTCAGCATTTTCACCGAAGCTGACACGGTGTGTACAGTTTGACCCAAGTGACCTTTCCTGGAGTCCGTCTTCACCTCACTGCCACAGCAGATGCCTCAGGCCCTAGGAAGAGTCTAYTGGGCATCTGTGGCTTCTCCTTTGGGAAGGCCGACCCCAGCCCCTCCCTCCTTTCCAGCAACTCAAGGAAGGATCCAGAAAGGAGCGTGGCCACCCCAGCCCTGGCCCTTGGCGGCTCCGGGGCCTCTGCTACACCAGTGTTCCCAGCAGCCTTGACGCCACTCCCCAGCCTCTACATTATGGAGGCACTCCTGAGAATTCTCCTCTTTGCTTGCGGGGATATGTCTAAGTGACACACTTTCATTCTCAAACAAAGCCCTCTACAGAATCCATACCTCTATTAAACGTGTACACTACTGATGTTGACTAAGTATGTTGGATGTGCTCAACGGTAAATGTAATGCACTCAACATATATAATCGTAAACCATATATCTGATAAAGGTCCAGTGACCAAAATATATTAAAAAACTCTTACAACTCAGTAACTATTAAGACAAGCAATCTTTGAAGTAGACATAGGATTAGCATAGACATTTCTCAATTAGCACATGAGCCACGGAAGATGCACACCAAAACCACAAGGAGCCGGTGCTGCACCTGCCCCGCATGGTCACAGTAAAAGGCACTGGCAGTGAGCCTGGTGTAAACGTGGAGCAGGCCAGGCCCACACGCGCTTGCTGGTGGACGTGCAAAACGTGCAGCCACTTTGGAAAAGAGCTGAATATGCTCAAAAGCTTAAAAAGCATCATCCTACATCCTAGAGATTCCTTTCCCAGGTAGAGACACGAGGCCACATAGAAACAGAGGTTACTGAGGTCAAGAGCACGATTCTTCAGTCAAAAAATGGAAACGATCCAGATGTCCCCTGACGACAGGTGGCACATGTGCATGAAAAGTGGCCACAGAAAGGGATACGCTGGCCATAGAAAGGACAGCGGTACTGAGGCGTGCCACAATATGGATGACCCTGAACGTGCTGGCCAGGTGAAAGAAGCCAGTCGCGAGAGACCACAGGTGGCAGGAGCCACTGACACGGAATGCTCACACAAACCCGTCCGCGAAGACAAAGGCAGGTCCAGGGGAGAAAGTGTGGACCTCCAGGGTCAGAGACAAAGAAGTTCTAAACTGAAACGGGGGCTGCAGGGTTCTGGACAAACCGCACCCCCCACAGCAGCCAGGAGCTGGTGTGATGGCGGCACGAGGCCCATCTCAGCAGAGCAGCCTGGTCTCTGCGTGCCAAGCAGACAGTGACCTGTGTGAGTCTTCTCATGGGACTTGAGGACCCCGGAGGAGACGAAGCCGCGCCCGCAGAGCTTGCACTTGTAGGGCTTCTCTCCTGTGTGTGACCGCACGTGCTGCTTCAAGTGGCTGGACTTCTTGAAGCCCTTGTTGCAGTAGTCACATCTGCAACCAAACAGAGAGTTCAGAGCACGGTCACCAGGCCCCGCTGCAGAGGGAGCCACAGGGCCCTGAGGTCAGGCTTACTGCCCACCTGGACAACACAACGGACAGCACCAATGGCGGGACAACCTGCCACATCAGGTTCTGCGGGGGTGTCGGGGTCTTAATGTGCTTGATTCTTTCCAAATTAACAACTCCTCCAATGACTCCCCGACAGACAAAATACCCGATTCATCAGAAACTCTCCCAAACCCAACAGTAGCACAGTCACTGTGAGCTGCTGCTTTCACAAAGTTGGTGCTTCCTACTCCCAAGACTAGATTTCCAGAAATGCCAATCCACATACATTTTTGGTTAAACTTTAAGGAAACRGATTGTACCAGAGTTATTCTGAGTCTGTAACTATGCGGTATTATTTCCCTCTCAGTAGTTACTAAAGAGATTAAAATGACTGTTTCTCTAACGTGTCTAACCAACTGCCTAGATCTACCATCCAGCAGCTGCCTGTCAACTCACCATGATATGACCCTGCAGAGTCTCCCCGTGAAACCAGGTGCAGAGTGGGGCCCAGCCCACCTGGAGCAAGTCTGCCTGGGACCCCATCCCCAGGGAGGCGTGCTGCTGCCTACACTGGTCCCACTACAGGAAAGGACAGCTACGTGTTCTAGGTTCTGCAGCGTCTTAGGGAAAGACTCTGCACCTCGGCACTACCCAAGTTCCCGCTACTCACCCTCGGGCAGCCCGCCCACCCCTAGCTGCTCCTCTCCCATTCACCTCCTTGTGAGTGGGGCATGAAGTACTAGTCTCTGTACTGATAACTCTCTAATGTGGACTTCAGCCTGAACACCCCCATGCCAGCCTGGTGGAGAGGACCACCTGCATGCCATTCTTCCCAAACGTCAATCCCAGCAACAAAGACCCAAACCTGCCCCTCTCCAAGGGACAAGAGTCTCCGCCTGGCAGGTGCTCAGGTGAAAAGAGGGGCTTTTTATTAAATGACCTGGTGTTTTTTGTTGCTGTTGTTATTAAGTGTCCTCTTTTTGTTGTTGTTGTTGTTGTTGTTAAATGACTCTGAAAATAAGGATTAAGAGTTTAAAAAAGTACTTTAAGAAAATTATTAAAATATCATAAAACCAAGGCTATCTCTATAGACGATGCTCATTTCAGTTTTTCCAGTTTTATTCATCTTTGATTTTGTAAGATAGCTGTTTTATTCCCTGTCGGACCTTTGCCAGGGCCCTCCATGGTACAGTGGGCACATGGTGTTCCACAGGGCCAACGACCTGGAGACAGATCAACCCCGTGCCTGGCACAGCTGTTCCTAGAATGCACAGTCTTAAGCACAAACGTGCTACCACGTAACAAGGATGACAATGGTGACAGGAAGCTGTGGCCAAGGATTCTAAGTGTGCACATGCTGAAGAAAAACTGCCCTGGCCCTCACTAGCAGTGTTGTGTCAAGGTCACCTCTGCTGTCCCAGATCCCAGAGGAAGTGGGGTGACAACCAACCCTGTTTCACAGGGTCCAAGGGAGCCAAGCCCGCAGGTGACCAACACTGCACTTAGAAGCCTGCTGGGTGGCTCTACCTGTAAGAGCGCCGGCTCTGGTCCTCGCCCTCCTCCAGGAACTGGGGGCGCTGTGTCGGCAGGTCCAACTCCTCTTGGGACGACTCCTGAATCAAGCGAGCAGTCTGAAGTGAACAGAGGCAGGAGGAGACTGCTTAGCAGTCTGTGAACATGAAAGGGACGCAGCGGCCAGCAGCGTGGACAGGATGCACAGCCCCCTGCAGAAGCTGGGCTGCAGCGGCCACAAGACCACGGACAGCCCTGAGCAGCAGTGCTGGCTTTCTCTGGCCCGTGGTGAGGCACGGTCTCCTCGATGCCCAGACTGACTTACTTGAGGAGAGACACTCGAGTCAGCTGGACTCTTATTGGCTGCTGCAGTCTAGACTGCAGATGTCCCTCCAAAGGCCACGTGCTAAAGGCATGGTCTCCAGCCTGTGCTGCCACAGGGAAGTGGGCCTGGTGGCAGAATGAGGCCACTGGGAGTGCGCCCTGGCAGGGACACTGGATCCAGCCCCTCCCCAGCCCTCGGCCTGCTGGCCACCAGGAGATGAGTGGCATGGCCCCACCACGCTCCACCCCATGCTGTGCCTCAGCAAAGGCCTGAATGACAGGCCACCCACCAGGGACTGAACCCCTGAAACCAGGAGCCTTTCGAGTGATTTCTTTCAGCTATTTGTCACAGTGATGGAGAGATGACTAACACACTGGCAGTGAATAAAAATCCCACTTTCTGAAAAGATTGTCCCTACTGTCACAAAAGCCACAAGGGAAGAAAAAGGACCCACCATCCACCCCAGAAATAGTCACACACACAGGGAATAGTCACGGTAACCCCTCCTCCAACACAGGGTCACAGCTCAGCTTGGCCAAGGCTCGCTGACCACTCCGATCCCAGAGGTGAGCTAGGCCTTGGACACCCGAACGGCAAGGGCARCGTGTAAACAGTGGAGCCTGCCAGTGGTGCTGGAAGTCAGAGCTGTTTCTGATTTTTGCCTGACGTCCATGACCACATGGGACAATGCCCTCTGCTACCGCCCAGGCCCCTGTGGGCAGCTTCCTAAGAGGGCCCTGGATGAGAAGAAGCTCCTGAGCAGCATGCTCTCCACCAGGGTGAGCACCTGCACCAGCCACACGGTGTCCGCCCATGAGAAGGCACTCTGCCATCTTCAGGCCTACCACTGGGCAAAGCTACTATGAGATTTTAAGGAAAGAAGACAACGATTGATTGGTCAATTATTTTCATCACTATTAAAAAWTTTCCAATAACAGAAAAATCAAATTTAAACATCTCCAATTTGAATAAGACATTAAAATTTTTAATTACGTAATACTTGATTTCAATATGTTAGCATTCATATTACTTATCCATCTAACTTATTTCTTTTAAGATTCCACAAACAAAAATATTTAGGTTTTGTGCAAAAGCCATATCCTTCAAATTTTATTGCACTCTTACTGACTTCCTCACTTTTAGCTAAAAAGGTAAAGCCACCTCATGGTGCTGAACTCATTAAGCAAGTGGAGACGTTTTAAGGAGAAAGCTTGCATGCTACACACTGAGGTTCCCCAGGTGATGCACTAGTCTTAGAAGTACCAGAAGTGGGCATGCCCTTGTCAGTAGGCAAACTCTAACCACAGAGAAGACAGACCAGCATCCACTAGGTAATGACTGGCACCATCCTCTGCAAACACTCACTACGTTCATTGTGTCAGAGCTTGGAACCTGCAGCAGGTTCTGCTGGTGGAAACTCGTGGACAGGGCTTGGGACTCGAGAGTACTGGAATCTTGTAGTTGTTGCACAGGTGGAAACTGAGCCTGTTGATTGTACGTGTCGGTCACTGTGAAACCTGAAATGCATTAGAAAGAGAACTCTACAGAAAATAGGACAGTTTTTATACAAAAAAATTTTTAAATTGAGTTATAAATAAAAAACGTCTAAAGGTACATTTCTGCTTTCTGAGAATCAGAATCCACTTGTGCCAGCAGCTCTAGGATGGTCTGTATCCCCCCAAATCTTACTTATCCATCTAACTTATTTCTTTTAAGATTCCACAAACAAAAATATTTAGGTTTTGTGCAAAAGCCATATCCTTCAAATTTTATTGCACTCTTACTGACTTCCTCACTTTTAGCTAAAAAGCAGGCTTTGGGAACCAGTCACCGAGTTCACCTACAACCACGTCCTGACTCCCAGTCATCGCCTTCTCTGGCTAGGACATTCATTCGTGGAATGGTTGTGAAGTCATTTTGCAGAAGATCTGACTACACCCAACATGGTATATTATCAATTTTAAAATATTACATAATTATGCTAAAGTTATTTGGTTTGAAATCATAAATTCTAGAAGGGACTTCAGAGAAACATAGAAATGTGGTTCGTGAAAGTGAACCCCATGTAGGTCAGCTGGTTTCTCGGTTCACCCTACCCACTGACCTTGAGATAGCCCTGATGGCTCAAAGGACTGCTGTGTGGGGGTCGGCTCTTCAAACTGGTCCATGTGCCCTGGGAGAGGGTCCTGGGCAGCTGTAAACCCATCTAAGTATAAGAACACAAAGAAAAGGGCAGTTTATACACTGAGACCACTCACTTTTGGACACATACATTTGTTCAAAGGTGTACTTCACTGCGTTTTCAAAAGTTAGCCTCTTTATTTTGAAAATGCAATAGGGAGGCTGTGGACATTGCTCTGTGATACTTCTATAAAGCAATTGCCCCCAGAACTACTTGAAACCCTGCTGGGTACCCATGACTCCAGGCATCACAGGGGGCAAACAGTGTGTAATCCTGCCCAGAGACTAGGGACACGGAGACATCCCTGAGGTCGGCAAACTGAAGGCTGACAGGCCTGTGGGAGGCAAGAGCTGTGTGAGAGAGCAAGCCGTCACAGCACTGTGCACACTGCCACAGCCAAGGTGACTTTTTTTGCACTAGACTATATTGACGAAGGAAGCCATGTGTTGCTTTATATCAGGAATCAGGCACCTGACCTCTCTGCAGACCAGCAATGGACCCTTCTCTGAGCTGCATCAACCTGCATGACTCTATGCCCGGAAACTGTCACAGAAATCAACTGATGTGCAGACATGCACTAGGAGGAAGGAGGTGCGGGACATATGAGGGACACAGGTAGGTCATAAAGCACAAACAGGAAGACCGTGGAGTGTGATTACAGGTGCACACTCAACAGAGTGTCTGTGCATTCACTTGAAAAAACTGAAAGGAACTGCACTAGAACTGGTCAATGGACTTTGCTGTAGCCCTAAGATTTCAAATGCTTTCAAAATCACCTATCAAGAAGTGAGTTTACTTTGTGTTTAAAACCAACAATAACCCTTGCCCTTAAAAACCTAGTAAAGTTGAAGGGCAAAGAGTGACTGGAGAGCACAGGGAGAAATGTAAAATACTCAATAGCACTGCAAAACCCTGCGGGGGCTGAAACTCCCGAAATTCACCTTCAACCGCTTCCAAAGGCGGATCTGTCAGCTGCTGCCCCAGTGCTGCTTCTTCTGTGCCCACCACATGCTGCGACCCCAGGTCCAGCATGGCCTCGGGGTCAGTGGAGACAGGCTCGGCTGACTGCTGCAGCTCGGCACCCTCCATCTCCACTGGCATGGGAGCCGACACCTGCAGGCTCGGCTGGTCCACAGTGCTGTCGTCCACCGAGGTGGCCTGCTGGTGCTGCTGCAGCTGCTGGGCAAGTTCATATCTTCAGAAAAAGCAATGAAGATTCATGAAGTTAGACACCTGGCCATACTTGCCTGAGGATCTGACCCCAAAAGTTGTGATTTATTAAAAAAACACTTTATTCTTAAATTGCTTCATTTTGAAGTCATGAAAGTGACCCAGCTAACATTTACATACTGCTGATCATTCTGAAGGGAGTCACACTACTTCTAGAGCCATCGAAGACCACAGGACACAGAGGCTCCTAGAGAGGGGGCCCAAGACACACCAGAGACTCAAAGAGGCATCATGCTTAACASTAGAACTCCCAACTCACTTCTGCCGGGGGCTCAACTTCTCAGAACACCACCATCCTGGCCAGCGCCTCTCTAGACCAACCTGAGAATTACAAGCAAGGGCACTTCAGCCCGAGGTCCAGGACCCGTCACGAGTCACGTTCCCAGATGGCCTGGTGCTAATGCTGCTCATAGCAACATCTGCACACACAAAACACATCCAGTATGTATTCATCATGGTACTTCTCCTTCAAAGAGAAAGATCAACAATGACTGACTGACCAACTGACAGCACACCTGCCACCTGACCAAGGGGCTATCCGCTCCGCCCTTCCTTACGTCTGCAGTCAGACCACCGAGCACCACCACAGGCTGTCTCCTCAGATGCTCCTCCCTACCTCCAGTCATTTCTGGAGTCAATTCTCAATCATCTAGGTCAGGAGTCAGAAAGCACATCACCAATTAGAGAGATGCAAATTAAAACCACACTGAGCTTCCACCTTGCTCCAGTCAGATGGCAATCATCAAGAACACAAGCAACAGTAAATGCTGGCGAGGACTTGGAGGGAAAGGCACACTCGGACACTGTTGGTGGGTCTGCAAATCAGTGCCACTACTCTGGAAAGCAGTATGGAGATTCCTCAAAATACTAGGATTGGAACCACCATTTTACCCAGCTATCTCACTCCTCGGTTTATACCCAAAGGACTTAAAATCAGCACACTACAGTGATCCAGCCACATGAAGTTTACAGCAGCTCAACTCACAACAGCTAAGCTCCGGAACCAACCTAGATGCCCTTCAAAAGATGAATGGATAAAGAACGTGTGGTACATATACACAGTGGTGTATTACTCAGCCACGAAGAAGAATGAGATTATGGCATTTGCCGGTGAACACAGAACTGGAAACCATCGGGCTAAGTGAAATAAGCCAATCCCAGAAAACCAAAGGCTGAATTTCTCTCTAGCATGTGTATAATAACCCACAATAAGGGTGGGTGGTAGGAAGAATAGAAGTTCACTGGATTAGACAAAGGGAGATAAAGGGAAGGTAGCGGGATGGAAATGGGAAAGACAATAGAAGGAACTGGACACCTCTTTTCTATGCTCACATACGAATACAGGAGCAGTGACCTCCACATCATATACTACTGCAGGAATGGGATCCTGATTAGAATGTTCAACTCCACGCATGTATAATATGTCAAAATATACTCTACTGTCATATATAACTAAAAAAGAACAAATAAAAAATAAAGAAAAGAAAGCATGCTACCCGGACCCTGCCACCACAGTTCTGGGCAGTGACGCAGAGACGTCAGACTCCACCATGGTTCCAAGGGCGAGGGTCTCACATGGTGGGTGGGAGAGGCGCTTAACGCTCGTCTGCCTGGGTTCTTCCCCACAACCTGACGACTGTAACTATGTGCATCCATCTTTCATATAACATGTAGTACTCTGGGAACTTTCTGCAATATGTCAAAGGGACGCTCCTTATGGGAAGATCCAAAAGCAGATGACCTAAAGGGGAAAGCACCACGGCAGGCCAACCGGCCAGCACACTGTCACCACAAAGTCAAATGCTGCAAAGACCCACTGTAGGCAGCCCTCAGTGTCACCATGACAAACACTGTCTACACGAGGCTCCATGTCACGCAGCTGGCCCTATAACCGCACCAACGAGGGCTCAGGCCCCATGTTCCCAGCCCTATCCCAGGAGGAATATGGCAAGGCCAGGCTTCCTGATGGGGGAAAATGGCACTCAACACACCGCTGGGGCACACAAGGACTCAGCTCCTGTCTTCTCTAATGGCACAGCCCCTTAGCCACATGGGAACCCATCTTCCTGCTGCGCGAGCAGAGCCAAGCATCCCGAGTGTCCACACCAACAAGACATCCAGTTCTCAACACATGCACAAAACAGAATGTCCTCGTGACCCACAGCGCAGTACCACAGAGCATGCTGCTGTGAGGGCCACTAAATGGCACCACCGACATGGAGCTCCCTGAGAGTCCCCAGCAGAGGTGAGCTTGCAGGCTAAGACCGACGGTGCTGCCTCGAGGAAGCCAAGCTGACAAGCAAGCTCGGGCTCTCAGATCCGTAAGACACTGAACACCACCAAACCAGCACAGTCCAGTCACTCTAAAACTAGGGTCTGGATCACAGGGATACCAGGCAGACGCATCTGGGTTAGACTACTGGGACTCCTAAAGTACATGTTCCTGGGCAAAAGAGCATAGCACTCTCTGGGTGCTGAGGACTTAATTTCACAGAGGCGGCCACCTCATGGCTCGACATGACCACACACCACCACACTCCTCAGGAACCCTTGTGTGAAAGCCCAGCTCAAGCCAGAAATGACCCCTCGGAGATGAGCAGCTGGCTACTCCATGAAGGTTCCACAGGCTGCCCCAAATACATGTTCAAGTGCAAATGCAGAACAATCACCTCCAAGATTCACCAATCACACTCCTGGAATGCACAGCGCTGATCAGAACTTCACCTCCTGACTGTAACAGGCAGGATCCAAGATCTCATCTAAGTACCAGAGGCCATCTCTGAGAGGGAGCCAACCACTAGGGGTTTAGCCCAACATAGACTGCCTCAAAACCCTGCGCCGTGCGTGTGGCACTCAGTAGGTTCCCAGTTACTGACAGTTCAGTTTCTTTAGCCCACATACTCCAGGTGAGAAATAGCAAACAGCACGGGATTCAAAATTAAAAAGACCCCACCACCAGGGAATTACAATCAGAAGTATACCTACCTATGGGTTTTCATGTGCTTCTTGCAGTTCAGCGAGGTCTTAAAGGTTTTTTGGCAATAGGGACACATATAGGGCCGGAGGTCGTTATGAATGCCCATGTGTCTGCGCAAGCTGCCTCCAGTGGTGAAGGCTCCATTACAGATGAGACACTTGAAGGACTTGAGGCCCGTGTGCGTCCTCACGTGCGCCTTGAGCACTCCTGCAGACACGAAGCCTCTTCCACACTGAGAGCACTTGAAAGGCTTTTCACCTGTGTGAGACCTAAAAGAAAGATGGCATTCCCTTCACCATGCTGCAGGCCAAGCGGCAGAGGAGCCCAAGGCATGCAGCTGCCATGCGGAGACGGCTGCCCATCTCCATGGGCTCCAGCCTTCCTCCAGCACCACCCCTCGCAGGACCAAGTCTATCTGCTCCAGCAAGCACCAAGAATAAAGCTCCACTGAATGCACTGGAAAACCTTAACTGCARTCTCATCAAATAAAACAAATGCTTCTTGGATATTTCCTGAAAGCTGCAAATACTAAAATATAATGGGAATACAAATAAAATTCAGTGGTAATTTCTGAGTAAAATATTTTAGTTGAGACACTAAAGAATAAAAATATCAATTAGCAACATTTGGGGGTGAAATATGACATTTTAAATACTAAAACCTAACAATACTATTCCAATTACTTCTAGAGATCACCAGACCACCAAATCTCCAGATTACAGTGAACTCCCTCTCTAGACCTACAACTTACCTGATGTGTTGTTTAAGATGGCAGGACTTTTTATACGCTCGATGACAATAAAAACATTTGTATGGTCGATCTGCTTCATTTACAAAATTATTATTAAAATAACTTTGGAAAAACTGGTTTCTTGGAATGGGTTGGATAAGACCTGCAAACCAAAAAAAAAAAAAAAAAAGCAGAAATCATTCAGTGTCGGCACTAATAAAATTAAATGTCAAAAGGCACCTGTTACCCTGAAGGTGAAAACATGAATGTGCTGTAGAGCCAGTGCTGCAGCCAAGTGCTACTGTGATGTGTTAGAAACTATGCAAATACCTAGGAGAAAGAGGAAAACATGGACATGCTTTGTACCAACATGAGGAGTCTGTCTGTTGTCACAATTCTTTCACTGGAGTCTGCGGCCAGTTTCCTGTGAATACCTTTATTTATGTGCTGTAAAGGCATTGGCTGACATGGAATTTACATAGCTATATCCTAAATTTAGGATATGTATTTATTTATTCAATACGTATGCTGCCCGTGAGCTCCTCTGATGAATTCAAAACACCACTGCTTCTAACACGATCTTCTGTTCTAAAAACATCAGCATTGTCTCAGAAATTTCTTTCTACAAAATCTGCAAATAGCAAAATTACTTAGAATTATTTCCGAATTTACATGCTTTTAATCCGAGAAAGGGTTCTCTTGGTTTGCTCATTTATAAATAGGATTCAAGGAAGCCTGTAGGTCATATCTGTCATTCAGGACAAACTTAGATGTCAACTTTTGGGTCACTTCATAGTCACCTAACACTCAGTTCTGGCCAGTCTTGGACTATCCTTCCTCCTGCCCACACTCTGCCCTTGGCTCCAACTCTCCCTTTCCCTCCTCCGCCTCTTCCAGCAGGAACACTAGTTTCTATGTGATAATGACACATCTCTTACGATAGTTTCCTGACTCTCCCAGAAGTACAGGTTGTTTCACTTCTTTTCCCTAGAACCTAGTGCTCCTCCACTTTCCCAAGTGAATGCGTGGAACACCATTCTCCTCGTCCACGAGGCTAGCTTTTTAGAACCTTTGAGAACTCCCTTCCCTGTCTGACTGCATGTGCCATTTGCCATTCGCAGTCCCGGAGATCACACTGTCCCAATGTGTCTTAAACCTGCTTCTTCATCTCCATTTCCACTATCACCCATCCATCCATCCAGTCATCCACCCACCATCTCTTCCTTCACCCACTCACACGACCATCCAATCATCTGCTGACCCACCATGCAACTTACCATACCCTCTGTACCTTTATGCTCTCACCACTCCCTCAGCAAACCCCACTCCTCTGGTCACTTTATTTGTACTTATTCCTACTTCAGCACCTCTCACTCACACTTGGTATCACACCTTTTCTCCACCCCACTAGGCCATGAGTTTTCAACCCTAAGTCAAGTATGTGAGTTCACATAATACTGTCAAATAGGAGGACGCACAAATATAACTGAATGAACTAACTCTTGTTCTCAGCATCTAAGCTATTAGGAAAATTCAGTTAAGTACAAATTCAAACCAGGYTCATTTATTAATGGTCATATGGTCAACATTTATTTGATATTCATTGGGTTCAGGGAACCACAGTAGGTTCAAGAAGGTGAACAAAAAAACTAACGTGGGTATTCTCCAAAAAACTACAAACAGAAAAAACACAATGCAACTAAGGTGATGTCTTTGGTCACTATTGGGCTTGGCAAACTTTACAGTTCTAATGCTTACTCAGAGGACCACCAATGATGCAGGACAGCAGCAAACAGGCAGTCACATGGAGTTCTACGCAAATCTCCACCCGCTCCGTTCTGTAATCACCTGGCCACACTCCATACCGACACCTGACACTGCTCCAGGCAGCTCCACACTGTCCTCTGTCCTCTGCACAGGTTGCGCTGTGTGGAGGTGCCAGATGCACTGAACACACGTAGGAGGGATACTTCCACTAGCGTGAACACCACCACAACCAACAACCCTTGGATACACCACTGCTTTAGTTTTTCCTTCCAAGCATGTGAATTTCATCTTTGGGATGGTGCCCAGGTACATGCATTTTTTAAACAGATCCCAATGTGATTCTGCGCTCTTCTGGGGCAGAAGTTCCTAATTTGACACACTAAGTAAAATAACAGTCATTTTTYAAAAAATTTACTTTTGCTGATTTGAATAAACAAAGTTAGTAAAATTAATAATTAGGCTAATTATGAGGTTTCATTCTTTAAAGAAACAAATTAAGAATAAATAAAACATGTAAGTGCTAAGATGCTGACTATGTTAGTCATCTCTACTGGACCAGCAGTCCTTTAATATATTTGATCTTGAGAAGAAAACAACTTACCTCAAAGAAAGGCAAGATTAGACTTTATTTAATGAATGTAACAAAACTAACTAGACTAGAAACATCCTTGAACTATCATAGAAGTCCTTCTATCATAACAGACCCAGAAGAGCTTTAATCTCGTTAGGAAGCTTGGCCTCATAACTGACCTTACAACAGACCTCACGCACGGTGAGAAGCAACCGTACAGATGCCACAGAAGGGGCAGCAGATGCCATCCTGCAGAGCTGTAAGTCGCTCTCTAGGTCCAGTGCACACCTCCCTGGCCTCGAAAGCAGCAGCACACTGGCAGAGGATGTGGAAAGCACTCTGTCTTAGATGAACCCAGAAGCCAGAAGACGCGGCTCTAGATCCCCCATGGGCATGAGCAAGCGGCATGACCCAAACAAAGTCGCAAACCCACCTAGACAGGAGTTTCTATCCACAGCAATGAGGAAGAGCGAGTGTAGGCAGCTGTGGAAGACAGTTTATGTTCCCTGGCAGTGGTACACATTTTAAAACACAGGTGCCACGTGACACCATGCATCCAACCCTCTTCCTTAATRTCAGAGGCTAAACCACTGGCCACGGTACTTATAACGCGTTCCAATGCTTTTTAAAATGACAGTATTGGTGTAAGACATCCGGTTGTGCTGTAAATAACTACATCAAGTCAAAGACCTGAGTACTACATGTTCTCCTCAACTCCACCCGTCAGGTCTTTGCTGTAAACCTCCAAAAGCACGAGCTGAGAAACAGGTGTGACACTGCACCCTGCAGCATGACACCACCTCTGGGGAAGGCTTCCTGTGTTCCTCACAGCCCAGGCAGCAGAGTTCAGCTGCCATAATGGGTCAAGGAGCAGCACTAGGAAGGCACCCAGCAGAGGTTCCACTTAACCCAGAAAAAATGTAGAATAAAAACTGTAATAGAATTCAATTAAGGGTTCACAAACTCACAGGCACTTGATTCAACTTATATTGACCCCAAAGGAGGTTGTTCTTCTGTAAGCCGCCCAGCTAGAAGAGGATATGAAAGCCCCTCCTCCAGACACCCAGGGAGTCTGGTTCATGCTCCACAACATCAAACAACCGCACCCTGACACTTGTGCCTCCCGGGAGGTGAGCAAAGCACACCCTCCTGGTCTCAGAGCTGGGAGCTGCAGCACCCCAGCCACCACCACCTGCCCATCTGCCTATGGTGCAGGTTTCTTGTATCTTCTAAGGTCAATGATGGCCAGTACATTATCCAGGAAAAGAGCCACTACATCCAAATTTTCAAATGTTTTAGCAACTAATTGTACGTGTTTGCAAACAATTCTCATCTCAATTATATCTCTGTTTACAGATACATTTTTTCATTCCCAATATTTCACTTTCCCTTTAGTTTATCAATGACAAGTTATCTATTTTACTATTCACTTTTTTTTTTTTTGGTACTGGGAATTGAACTCAGGGACACTCAACCACTGAGCCACATCCCCAGCCCTATTTTGTATTTTATTTAGAGACAGGGTCTCACTGAGTTGCTTAGCACCTCACCGTTGCTGAGGCTGGCCTTGAACTCACAATCCTCCTGTTTTAGCCTCYGGAGCCACTGGGATTATAGGTGTACACCACTGCACCTGGCTCACTTTTTTAAGTTTGTAAAATTATCAAATTTGTTTTAAATTCTTTTATATGTATTAATTCCTTTGTTCCCTTCCCCCAACTCACCCTCCATTTTTCTAGCTGATGAGTTAACTATTATTTCTTTTCATCCTTATTTTTTAATAGAAAATATTCAAAAGCCTTAATTTTTCTGAGAACACTTTTGGTCTCTCTGATCTGTTTATATACTGCTCCCATTTATAAACATGATTTCAATTTTAAGTCTCTCTTTTCCTTAAAATTAAATTTTAGATAGCTATTTCCTTAATTCATGTTTTCATGGAATTGTAATCAGCATCCACTTTTGAGTGAAATTTTCCTGAACCCTACAATGTGGACTTTTATTTCATGCATATTTGAGAATGTGTAATATAAGGGAAAAGATTGTACAAAGTATTAAAATATCCTTTTTAATGTGTGTATTCAAATCTTCTCACTGTGTTATCTAAAATTGATCTTTTTAGTAGTTGCGAATCTCTCATTAAACTTAACAACTTAAACACTTTTTTGACAACTTGAACACTTTTTCCTTCTGATGGCTTTAGTAAATACATGTTAATGCCATGCTGTTAAATATATAGAGTTCATGACTACTGATCAGCTATTGAAGGTCTATAATTCATATCAATCTAAAATATATCTATACATACTATTTAAATTTTTTTATTCTAAATTATATTTTGTCTGATACTAATTTTGCTTATAGACTAGATTAGCTTATCTAGGAAATTATACAGGGACTGCATAAAAATCTGTATTCATACACAGAATTTAATTAGTGGTATAGTCTAAATGTTTGTGTCCCCTCAAAACATCCATATTTTGAAATCTAGCCCCCAGTGAGACAGTACAACAAGGGGAGCCTTAAGAAGGATGGGGCCTTGCGGGGAGCCCTCCTGGATGGATCAGGGTCCTCTATGGAAAGCCCTGGATAGCTGCCCGCCCCTCCTTCCTCCACGTGCACATGCACACCAGACCACCCAGAGGTGCTGCCACAAGTGGGAGAAGTACATGTCTGTTACTTAGAAGGGGTCAGTTTACGCTATTTTTGTTATAGCAGACCAAACCTCACTAAAACGAGGTTTCTTATATTTTGCTCTAGTACTTAAAAAAATCATTTTCCCAAGCATACTGGTAAGCAGTGTTCTCTTTCTGGCGAGTTAACAAAATCATGATTTGGCTTGATTATATAATATACTGAGCCTAAAGAGAACTTAAAAGCAGGCAGGTTTTTCTTTTCAATGCAAAGATTAAAGCAGCCCAAACTGCTTCACTATGTCACACACCTTGTGGGACTTCACAAATGAACACAAAACATGCCACATGTTTTACATTAAAGACCCCTTGTCACCTTGATGGTGTCAGCAAGGCAGAACATTTAATGAAGACTGGCATACCTCCACACACACAGTGCTTCTCTTTGAACCAAAACATAATTTGAGCAATAGTTTATGATTTTTACCTTGACTGTGAAAAATACTAGTTCATAGACAAAACAGTGCTCAACAAAGGTGTCTTCAGCCCGTGGCTGACACACTAAACATGCACACCGGAGCCCGGTGCTGCCAAAGGAAAGAGCACTTGACCAGACGTGACGACTCCTCGGGTGCCTCTTACCTAAGTCAGTTATGAGAATCGGTTCCTGCAAAGGGATGTCGGGGACTGGAGCGCTGGTCCTGCCCACACGGACCTTGGCAGGCTTGCGCTGGTGCCTCATCTTGCGTAGCTCTGTGTGTTTGAAGTGGGAAGCAATGTGGGTCTTCCTATGGCCTGAGGTGCGAAACTTTTTGTCACAGTGAGGACAAGCAAAAGGTCTAACTCCTAATAAAAATGAGAGCACAGTTTAAAATTAGTTCAAGGAATCAGATTTCAGTAAAAAACTCCAACATAAAATGTTAGTAATTCCAGTATTGATTTGAATATTCATTTGTTATTCCATGCTTATAATTTCATGGATTTTATAAATAACCTTCTCTTGTTTATATACAGTGCATAATGACAAATGTGGGAAACATAACAAGAGCACTTTACACGAAAAAGAACACTTATTTCCAGGACAAAGGCTTAAGTTGTACACTACGGGTGTGCAAGCCACTGTGTCAGAGTGCTCATCCCTTCAAGCTGCCCACTGCTGGCTGATGGCAAGACCCACTCCTGGGTCCTATACCCCAGTGCCTGAAGAGCTGTCAGCAGCTCTTGATAAGCAGTTAGCTGTAGCTCCTGGGTGATAAGTAACAACCAAGTAATACCATCCTGACATCCTCTCCTTTCTCCCCTTTTCTGAGCGAATTTGTTTCCTTTTATAATTTTTTTGGCAAATAAAAATACAGATTCCATAGAAGGACATAACACTCTGGCACCCAACGCCACCCCGGCAGGGAGCCTGAGGGTTCAGGAAGGGGCCTGCCAGTGAGTGGTGAGTTGGGAGGGGTGACAAAAATGTTCCAATTGGGGGAGGGGTAGCTGCACCACTCTGAACTGTGCACTTATAAATGTTATGGTATGTGATTTACATCTCAATAAGGCTGTTATTTTAAAAGATGTGGAGCTCAAGTGCGACCCCTTCATGCCCTACCAGTGACTGCAGAAGGTTCCCACAGCAGCAGGCAGCAGGTCCCCTCCCGCCCCAGCTCCCCAGCTCAGCCCCCACCCAATCCCGTGCGCCATGCGACATGCGCTGTGCTGTGCCGGTGTGCGTGGGGGCCGGTCACGCCCATCTCTTCTCCGGACCCGCCCGCGCACCTGTGTGCAGGCGGATGTGCACCTTGAGGCTCCCTGAGGTGGAGAAGCTCTTCATGCAGTACTGGCACTTGAAGGCCTTGATGCCCGTGTGCGTCTTGATGTGCGCCGTCAGCGTGCTCTTCACGGCGAAGGCGCGGAAGCACTGCGGGCACTTGAAGGGCTTCTCGTGGGTGTGGATGCGGATGTGGCGCACCAAGTCGCTGGGCTTCCGGAACTCCTTGGTGCAGTAGGGACACACGTGCCACCGCACGCCATTCTCCTCCCGAACGGAGCCTGAAGCGACAAGGAGAGGAGGGCAGTCCAGCGGCCCAGAAACCACGCGGGCGCATGAAGGATGGATGCACCGCTGCACTTGTGTGCCCGCCCAGGAAGCGCAGCGTCAGCAGTTACCACAGCTTGACCTTGAACCCCACCCTGGATTACCCAGCGAATAGCTTAACCTTGGCCCCATCCCTAAGTGACCTAAGTTACTAGAGACCTGGTTACCTTGACCCCATGGCTAAGTTACCAACTGTGATGTTTCATCTAGAAGACACCCTGACTTTCCGTGAGTACAGGAGGCAAGGCCTCCAGGACAGACAGGAAGAGGCTGCAGCTGAACACAGCATCTCGGAAACCAGTGCACAGACCCGCACCAGCTGCCCCCCAGCCAGGGCCAGTGTGATCCAGGGACCCACCGACTCCAGGAACCGGCAGATGGGAATGAAGTCTGCAAAACTATTTACTGAGCCTCTCACACTACAAATAAAAAGTAATATGAGGGGCTGGGGATACAGCTCAGTCGATAGAGTGCTAGCCCTGCATGCACAAGGCCCTGAGTTCAATCCCCAGCACCCCCCACCCAAAAAAAGTAATATGAATGCAAATAATCAGCAAATGATAGACTGTTCAGCTTCAAAAGAAAATTTACGAACAGTTGACCAAGAAATAGTACATGACACTAGAGGGCCCATGATCAGATGTGAAAGATCCTGCCTTCTTCAACTACAAAGGTTATTATTCAACTCCGAATCAAAGTTAAAACTCCTAACAGAAGAAGATCACAAATAAAAATTTATGGAAATAAGCAAAATTATTTCTAACACACATGTATATTTTAAATAAAATTCAGCACACTCACTTTTTATTTTGAAAAGTTTGACTACATATATTTATCTGAAATGAAATAAATATCTACAGTAGTTATGTAGATTCAATTTAAGTAAATTCTAAAAGATTTTGGTCATGTTGATGAAATCCACCAGAAAATTTCAACTTATCTATTTTAATGTGTCTGTACAGGCATAGTTTTGTTAGGGAAAAGGAAAATCTCTTCTTTCTCTTTGTTATCAGCAAATACAAGGAATTTTCCACATATACAAAGGAATCTGTAAAAGGAGAAAGTGAATTTTTCTCTGATAACAGTCTTTGCAAGAACAATTCATATGGAAAAATTATTAGGTAAAAGAAAAGCAGAAACATAACTATATCTTCTGTTAGCTAAAATTAGAAACTCATCTCTGAAAATCAAATTTTTTTCCAAACAAAAATGAAAATACAGAGGCGGGGTTGTGGCTTAGAGGTAAGCGCTCGCCTAACACGTGTGAGGCGCTAGGTTCTATCCTCAGCACCACATAAAAATAAATAAATAAAGATATTGTGTCTAACTACAACTAAATTTTTTTAATTAAAATATACATTTAATTATGAAGAACACACAGTATAAAACTGTCACCAAGTTCTAATTATTTCTGGGAACAAACTGAAACAAAAATTCCAAACTGGGAGCCCTGAGCTGGCTCAAAATGTGACCTGCATGTGCAAAAATGAAAGGCTGAATCCAGAGTTGTACTGCAACAAGCGGAAGTCCGGAAAACCAGAACACACCCCACAGGGCAAGTTTCCCAGCACACGACAACAGCGCCCCTCCTCAAACATGTTCCCATATTTGTAAAGAAAAAAACATGTAATCATATTTAATAGAAAAGGAATTCGTAAGATCATCTACTCTAAAACATTTTTAAGTCTAAAAACAGAAAGAGGTGAATAAAACATATCAAGACAACACTAAAAAGGAAAATAATATCAACACTCTTTCTATTTACAAACAATAGCCACAAGAAAAATTTTAAATACAACTGAAATATGAGAAAAAGATGAATAAATCATATAAATATAAAACTTTATAAACTCATTGATTCTCCCTGGTTTAATTTATCATTCATACATACGTACTAAGACTAGTTTTAGAAACATTAGCAAAAGTGAATCTGAAAAAAATAAATATGGGAAAATTATCAAGTACACACTTCAAAACAAAAGAGTATCAAGAGAGAACTAGGCTTCCTAGTTACTAAAATGCACAATAAAGCCTAAGCACAGGTACCAGAACTTACTGAATGAAACGACTAGCAAACCAGTGAAGTACAGGAGGGAAAAGACCTGAGCAGATATGGAGTGGTGTATGTAAAGGTGGCCATTCAGCTAGGCAGTGAGACACAAACCTGTTCAACAAATGGTGTTTGGACTCCTGGATAGCCAGCCAAAGAGAAATTACATTGAATCCAAGATTCAAAAGCATTAGGTGAAAGAAGAAGTCATGTTTCCATAAGGTTGGTGCTGAAGTCTACATGTTATACAAGCCCAAAAGTCATAAATAATTGACAAACTAGGCAATATAAAGGCAAACATTTCCCTCAAGTGGAAAAGCACATTAGAAAAGAATGTGTGTCACAAATATAGATAACAAAATATCACCATCTTTAATGTATCACAGCCACAAAATGAAAATCAAGAAGTAGTCTAATGGAAAAATACGAAGTGTTCTTTAATATGAAAAGCTCTCAACCTAAGCCTTGTAAGAGAATATAATTTACGTGACAATAAGGTACCAGTTTTTAACCGGGTAACCAGATGAGCATAKCGGACCCGAAAATCTTATAACTCTGTCTTGAAAAGGCCCGTGAGGAAAAAGGCACTCCAAGACACTGTTACTGGGAGTGGACACAAAACTAGAAACATTGTCAAAGCAAAGTAATTTTTCTTTTGTTAGCAAACACAACACTGATTTTAAAAATGAAATTTGTAAGAGGTGTAAAGACTGCACAGTAGCAATCTCCTGCTGGTGGTGATGTGCTATGGTTCCATGAAGCTGTCCTTGGTTTTAGGCAATACACTGTTAGGGAAACGCTCCCAGTTAAAGCAGTGTTATATCTGCAGGCCACAGGGAAAATTCAAATCCCTAAGTAGAGAAGGCAAATGCAGTAAGAAGGGAACATTCAGGGGTTTCTGGGTGAAAGGTATAAGAGAATTATTTGATTTGTTTTGAAACCTTTCTATTAAACTCAAAATTATTTCAAAATTAAAATCTTAAAACAATCTTTATAGAATTTACCCTTTGAAACGAAACCTTTGACACTTCTAGAAATATACCCCACAGATAAATTTACGTGTGAAATGACAAAGCCACACACATATCAGAGCGGCACTGTGAAAGTAAAAGACTGCAAATAAGTGGAATGTCTCTATTTAATAAATAGGCTAGTTAAATAAGCCGCAAAACATCTATAAAATGAAACACCATTCAGGAATCTTGAAAAATAAGACATCAGGTGGAAAAAAGAACCTGAGAACAGAGACACACATGCACACATCCTGCTAAAAGCCATCACCCTGATGCCCATCCCTGCAGGAAAGACACGCATTCACTAAGCGCTTACTGTGTGCCAAGCACTATCATGTGGATTCCCTTTCAATTCTCTCCTGCCTGCTCCCTCATCGGCCTCATCTGTAGATGGGAAAGCTGGCAACCCAGAGACCAAAGGACTGGCCCAGGAGGTCAGGGCCATGGAGCCCGTGTTCACAAAGGGCTCGCGTGGTCCCAAGCCCAAGTGTGCTTTCTCACATAGGTCTGACCTTCCAGCTTTACTCCAAGAAAAGCATTCTCACGTGCCAAGGACCAAGCCAGGCTCAAGTCATCCCCTGCCCCTGAACTGACTACAGTCTCAAGGCAGGCAGGCAGGCAATGTGACCACACAAGGGTGGGACAGCCCTACAGGTGCTGAGACAGGTGCTCATGCTCAAGAACGACAGTGTGCAAAGACACTGCAGGTGAGTTTCCTGGAGGGGAGAATGCCACGGAGCTCCTGCATCAGCAAGGTGGCCCTCAGCTGCACTCTGAAGGACCTGGCCTAGGCACATTCACCAGATAAAAACAGCAAAAGCCAGCAATGACACACGTCCCAAGACCTAAGCATCAAGATGGCCAGGATAAGGGACACTGGGTGGAATCCCAAGACGAAGCCCCTGAATGCAGGCAAGACTGGAATAAGGCAAGTCTCACATCCACAAGAGGAAGCCCCACGTGTGCTCTGCTCAGTCAGTCCCACCCAGGGCAGGCCAGGGGAGAGGGGGTCCAGAGTCCCCTCCTCACTCTTCAGCAGCCGACTCTTCATCTGGCTCCCACCCAAGGTAAGGCCTGACAGTCCAGGCTGGTAAATAAAAGGACAGTCACTGAGTGATAGAGGGACTAAATTTCTTCAGAAGGGGACACCAAGAATGCTTCAGAAACAAAAGTGGTCACGACAGTGCAGCTCATTCATGACCACAGTTTCTGTCCCTGACATTGGGCTTTGCTGTCGTTATCTTTATAACCTGAAATAGCTTACAGTGTTCTCAGATCAGCAAACTCTGGCAGAGGATGGCAGGTCAGCTGCTGTGAAGAGCCTGACTTCTGGGAAGAAGCACCCTTGGAAAGCAGTGGCGATGCAGGCATGTTTGAGGAATGGTGTCGGCTGGCGGTTTCCAGCTGTGCGCAGAGTTCTCAGTTCTGCACACAGCACTGACACACCTGACAGCGTGACGTCCGTCAGGGTGCGGAGCCGACACCCTGGAGTGCCTCCTGGAGCCCCTTCCCCAGACATGGCTTGACAGCTAGCATGGCTCAGACTCTGCCAGCATCAGGAGTCAGCTCCTATCAGGGTGCTGCAGTTGCTCAAAACTGTCAGACAGAAGCACCCAGGGCAGCAACACTTCTGTGCAGGCACGTCAGTGCATGGACCTGCTGTCTATATTTGCTGGCCCCAGTGAACACATGCTCCTTGTTGGATCTTCTGATGGAACACTGACTTCCGGAGCTATATCCACTGAGAACAGCTCCCAGTCCTTGTTGAATAAAAACTCCACTTTCACAGAGTTGGGTGCTAGTTACTGATAGTAAATGCCCATCAGAAAGGAAACAAGCATTCCTAAGGGTACTGCTGAATCCAGCAATGGAAAAGCCTGGAATTCTGTAG